TCATGGGGAGCCGGGCGGGGAAGGAGCCTCTCTGCCCGCCCCAGCCCTTGGCAGGAGCTCTGCCCATGGGCGTCACCACTGCTGGGAGCAGAGACTGTCTGGGGAGATCTGTGTGACCCCCAGGCCGAGCAGGGAGCAGGAGACACTGACCTGGGGAGTGAGATCACTGCACAGAATCTAGCTCAAAGCAGGACATTTCCATTTCTTTGTTGGGTAATTCTGGATTTCTATGAAAACAGACAGAAAGTAGAAGTATTGCTGCTTTAAAACAGACATTCTGTTGAAGAAATGACGCCCTCCTGGGGAGGAGTTTCCAGGGAGGAAGGCACTGTGCAGCCCAGGAGAGGCTCAGACTGAGCTGCTGCTGTCCCCCTGGCTCTGAGCTCTCTGGGAAGGGCAGCAGCTCCTGCTCCTCCTGGCAGCGCAGCATGGCTGAGTGGTTTGTGATGAACTGCCTCAGGATGGACAAAATCACCCTGTTCGTGAGGGCTGACTGCCCTTACTGCGTGAACGCCGTGCAGATCGTCAAGAGCCGCGCTCCGGGGCGCATGCAGGTGGTTGACATCACTGGCTTCCCCAACGTGCAGGAATACCTCCAGCAGACCCTGTGGAGGAACGTGAGTTCTCCCTTCTGCCTTGGCTGGACTCCTGCTGCTGCCCCAGCACACGCTGTGCCTCCCCCAAACCCCTTCCCTGCTCTGAGGCCTGGCGCTGGGGCTTGGTTCGTGACTCTGTGGGGTAAGGAAGGGCTGCTGGAGAAGGTACCCGGGTGTTTCTAGGGCTGTCGAAGCTCCTTCAAAGAGCTTCCCACCATGCTGCCCAAAGCAGCAAGGAGCAAGGAGATGGAGCTGTGAGTTTGTCTGATTCTGGACACTGCTGTCCCCTCTGACTTTGGGCAGAAAAAGCCTTTAAAATTGTATCCTGGTCGCTGGCCGTGGCGTAGATCCTGTGCTTACAAAATTCAGTGTCTGTTTCTTCTGAAGCTGAATTAAATAATTAGACCTGTCTTAGGGAGGGATGTTTTGTGCTTGAAGCGATTTCCTCAGAAGTGCTGTCACACAGGGCAGGCAGCTCACAGAGTCATAGAATTGTTGGGCTGACAAGACCTTTAAGATTATTGAGGCTGAGTTACACCTTTGTGTAACAAACACACCTGGGATTTTTCATCCCTAATCTACCCCAGTGACTCCAAAGCCCATGAAGTGAAGCAGAGGGGGAGTGCTGGGGGAACGCTGTTCCTGCTGCCTGGGTCTGGGGGAGATTTCTCCTGCACTGGCTGCACATCCAGACCTGTAACTGGGCTCAGTCCAGGGAAAATCCATCCCTGTACTTCCACTTCCAGGAGACTGATCATAGAACCCCAGAATCCTTTGGGTTGGGAGGGACCTTTAAAGGCCATCTGGTTCAACATCCATGCAATGAGCAGGGAGGGACAGGTCCCTGTCCCAGGCTGCCCAGAGAGGTGGTCGCTGCCCCATCCCTGGCACCATCCCAGGGGAGGTTGGCCGGGGCTCTGAGCACCCTGCTCTAGCTGGGGATGTCCCTGTCCCTGCAGGGGGGTTGGACTGGATGAGTTTGGAAGGTCCCTTCAACCCAAACCAGTCTGGGATTCTCTGATCTGCTGCCCAGCCCCTGCCTCACCTGCAGGGCAGGCAAAGGAGAACCATGTGGGTTAGGGGTAGGGGTAGGGGTAGGGGTTAGGGTTAGGGTTAGGGCAGGGATTGAGAGGAGCAGGGTTGGCTCATTTCAGACTTTCACCAATAAGCAGATGTGGGGGTCTGGGAAAAAAGCTGGCTAAGATCATGAAATCCAGGGTGAGGAGTGAAAGGGGAGAGGAGAGGACAACTCACAGTGCTGCCAGGGGGCCCTCGATTCCCAAGGCTGCCGTCGCCAGCCTGCCTGGGTAGGGTGCTGGTTGTGGAGGGAGGTACTGAGGGGCTCCTCTGGATACCTGCACAGGTGCCCAGGGAGGGCTGTGGGGAGCTCAGGGGTGTCAGGGGCCCCTCCTCAAGGGTGGCTGTGTCCTCCTCCTGAATCTAGACCTGCCCATGGCTGCAGACAAGCAGGGGAGGGGGCTTTCTGACCAACCGTCCAGTCTCCCCTTAGTATCTCATGCCTGGTTTTGCCCATGACTTTTGTCCTGAGTCCTTGACCTAGTTCCATCTCAATAATTTCACTTCTGCCCACGTTGTCTTTTTATCTTCCGTGGCCTTACCTGGGATGCTTTTTTTCCCAAGGCAACCATTGTGAAATGGGCAAGAAAGGGGCCAGCATAGGCAGGAAAATAGCTGATGGTCATGGCTGTGGAGTAACAGGAGGAGAAAAGGCCAGACAAGGGATCTAATGAAAAGGGGCTGTGCCAGAAATGCAAGCTGGTCTGCCAAGTGACTTTCATAGAAACGGTTACCATCAGGTGGCCAGCAACATGTCCCAGCTGGCAGCTGCATGTGTTCAGGAGGCACTGACAGAATCCCAGAGTCCCAGCAGGGTGGGGTTGGAAGGGACCTCTGGAGATCATCTCCTCCACCCCCCTGCTCCAGCAGGTCACCCCCAGCAGGGTGCCCAGGGTCACAGCCAGGAGGGTTTGGGATCTCTCCAGAGCAGGAGACTCCACAGCCTCTCTGGGCAGCTGCTCCAGGCTCTGTCCCACCTGGGAGGACCGTGGGACTCCTCAGCACTCACAGACCCTCCCGTGGGCACGTGCATGATCCGTGTGTGCTGCAGGTCTCGGCGCCCCGAGCTGCTGGCTCACTGCTTTGGGATCACCCAGCACTACTCTAGAGTGTGGCTTTATCCTCCTGCAGCCTTCCCACTGAGTCTTCCCCTACCCCTTCTCTTCTGTCAGCAGCTTCTCAGACAGGTGGGGGCTTGGGGGTGACAAGAGGAGGATTTTGCACATCATGGTCTCCTTGGAGTGAAGTCTGTTCCCAGACAAGTCCTCTCCTCACCCTCTGCCTTCAGCAGCCCAGCTCTACTGACTAATCCATGGTGCTGTTTTTGCACAGGTCCCTTTCGTGTACTTTGGGAATACCTACTTTGGAGGATTATCTGAACTGCAGAGAATGTACCAGAGGATCCCCATGATGCTGCAGTATTCCCATGGCATGTGGTAGAGGAAAGGTAAATCCTGGGGAAGCTCTCTGGCCAACATCAATGCTTTTTCTGTAGTATAGACAAATTTGATTATTTTTAACACTGAAGCATGACTTGATGGAGCAGTGTCGAGGACCACTGCTGAACAGCAAAGTGTGAACAAGTTTCTGGGGTTCCCAGTTGCAGTATCTACCTTGTGACTTCCTTGCTACACACTTGAAAGAAACATCACCAAAATCTCTGACACCACAGGGTCCAGTTGCTGACCTTGGCCTAAGATCCAGAGAAAACGGTTCACCTCGTAGACCTTCCTTCATTCTTTTATCCCATGTGGGAAGGTGGAACCTGTTGCTCTGGAACTAAGCCTCTGAAGTTTCAGCCTGACTGGCTCTACAAGACAGGCTCTTGTATTTTTATAATTGGCTTTAGGAAACATCTGGGCACTCCTGTGGGGCACCCACTGTCCTTTACTGCTAGTGGGGAGGTGTTGGAAGAACCACGCTGGAGGAGGGGGTTAGAGGACAGGACAGGGCAGCCTGAAATCCACCTCTGTGGTAACAGATAGAGAGGCACAGAAGAAAGGAAGATGAACTGAACAGAGCAGCAACAATGGAAGATGAAGAGCAGGATGAGGCAGGTGCTACAATGGACCATCTCTGGTCCTCACTGCATCCAAGGGCAGGTGCAGGGAGCGGAGGCAAGGAGGGAGTACTGCCTTTTAGGGGATCTCCAATACTTGGCTTTGTGCAGAAAAGGAGGGAGAGGTGTTGGGGCAGCTAGCCCTGTGGAAAAGAGGCAGGTGGGGGGTCCTGCCCCAGCCAGTGGCTGGGGGACACCTGGGCGTTCGTGTCGTGTGGCTCCGCTGGGTTTGTGCGGGGCAGCAACGGGGATGGGCCGTGGGGCTTGTAGGGACATGGCAAGGGAGGAGCCCCGTGGCTCCCCCCTTGGCTCCCCCCTGGGCTCCCCCCAGGGCTGGCAGCCAGGACACGCACGAGTCCAGGGTGCAGGGACTCCTGTGCAGGAGGAGGACACCCAGCTGCTCCTCCACAGCATCCAGAGCAGGACAGATGCTTACGGGGCTCTGTCGCTCTCAGGCATCAAGGGTCCCTTCAACAACTTGTTGTAGCATGCAGAGTTATTTTTTCTAGGCTAACACAATTGTTTCAGAAGCTAAGAGGCACAGCTGGACAAACACACAGGGGGTGTTGGTGGGAGTGGGTGTGCACAACCCAGCTGCTGGGTGTGCTACACAGCAAGGAGCTTGGAACCACGACAGCAGCTTGGGTCAAACATACAAGCACTCACATGCCTGAATCCTTGACCTTACAGAGCCAGAAGTCCTTAGACAAGGGCTGCCAGAACAGAAGCTTACCAGGTTGGTAAGATGGTCTTTGGCAAGGATGGATGGACTTAGGTGTATTCTACGTAATATGTGTGTATACACACAAAAAAATCTGTGCCTATAGGGACGAGCGTGGATCTGTGTGTAGGTGAAGTATGTGAGTGTGTCCACACATGTAAAAGTGCTGTTTGAGAGGTCTCCATAGGCTGTTCTATAATGGTATTGTATTAATCAAGTATTTCTTGACAACACTGACCTCCACCTTTCATGTTGACTGTTTCTGCTTCCAGGAGAAAGATGCCCAGGAGCTACCACCTCCTCATTTTGACACAGACACTTCATGGAGCCAATTTCTGGCAGCTTCCTTCTAGGGGATCAAATGCACCTTTCTGGTGAATTCAGCTGCTTTTCCTTTCACTGAGTGATGCTTCTTTATGTTAAGCTCTCTTTGTCCTTTCTGGGCAAGATCTGACTCATACCAATAAAACACACTTCCCCTAAGTGGCATTGTTCACAGTTGTGTTTCTTTGGCTATGGACCCACTCACACACTTGTTCTAAACATCCCTTTTCTCTCCACAATCTCTTTTCTACCTTCATCTCCCTTTCTGGAAATTCTTGAGGTGTTCCATGTCCCATAAAAAATGACCCAAAATGCTGGTCTGGAGCATCTCTGTGCCAGGACAGGCTGAGAGCCCTGGGGCTGCTGATCTGGAGAAGAGAAGCCTCAGAGGGGATCTGAGCAGTGCTGAGCAAGAGCTAAAGGGCCCCAGGGGGGCCAGACTCTGGTCAGTGGTGCCAGTGACAGGACAAGGGGCAACGGGCACCAACTGGAACCCAGGAGGTGCCACCTGAGCAGGAGGAGAAACTTCTCTGCTGGGAGGGTGCAGAGCCTGGAGCAGCTGCCCAGAGAGGCTGTGGAGTCTCCTGCTCTGGAGAGATCCCAAACCCTCCTGGCTGTGACCCTGGGCACCCTGCTGGGGGTGACCTGCTGGAGCAGGGGGGTGGAGGAGATGATCTCCAGAGGTCCCTTCCCACTTCACCACGATGGATTTTGTCTGAGCTCAGCCTATGTGCAGACTGCTATAACCTTGGTATCATGCAAAACGTTCTTGGGAATGGCCACTGCAGCCTGTGCACATCCCCTGCTCCGACCACCCACCCGCTGCTGGCAGGCTGTGCAGGCCTGTCTGCGGCGGAGCCCCT